CTGCGAGACCCATGAGACAGGAACCACCAACACAGCCACCACCTCCTCTGCTACAATTGGATCAGGACAGGTGTGCTCTAACCCTCCCTGCGAGACCCATGAAACGGGCACCACCAACACAGCCACAACTGCATCTTCAAACATGTCGGCGCTGCGCGTGTGCTCCAACCCACCATGTGAGACCCATGAAACCGGGACAACTAACACAGCTACCACAGCATCAGCTAACATGGGAGGAGTTCCGCAGACGTGCTCCAACCCACCCTGCGAGACCCATGTTACGGGCACCACCAACACAGCCACCCAGGCATCGTCTACCATGAATGCAGGCCAGACAAGCACCACGCAGAGGGTGTGCTCCAACCCACCGTGTGAAACGCACGAGACAGGGACCACCAACACCCCGTCTACAGCCACCTCTAGCATGGGAGGCGACCAGACCAGCACAGCGACGGGCATGGTCCAGAGGGTTTGCTCCAACCCGCCATGCGAAACACACGAGACTGGGACCACCAACACAGCCACCACTGCCACCTGTAGCATGGAGACAGGCGAAGGCACAGGTATACCCACATATACTATGTTGGCTCAATATCATACAATTCCTTTTCTGTTTGTCGTTCTTGATTAATTAATGTATATTCTATTATTTAATAATTTGTTCTTGCCCCTGCAACAACAGAATTGGCTAAAATACTTACTGTCCAGAAGTGCTTATTTTGGTAGATGCTTGTGTCCACATGAAATTTATTGGTATGAGGTCAAACTTAAATTATGTTTTTGTATCCATCAGCAGCCCAGCAGACGGAGGAGGGAGCAGAAGATACCAGCAGCACAGAAGTGGCCTCCACCACTGCAGCAACTGCCATGGCTACTACCACCCAGGGAAGGGCCATTACTACTGTCACTCAGTCTACACCGGCCCCCGGGCCCTCTGTACCTGTAAGAAATGCACTAATTTACTGGCAAAATTAGCAAGTGATGTAACCATTTTTCTGTTGCCACTAATCTGTATGTTTTATCTTTGTCTCTCTCTCCAGTCGATCTCATCGATCACAGAGGGTGTGAGTACTGCTGCCAGCTCTACAGAGGAACCCATGCAAACTGATGAGACGGCATCAGCAGAAGCTGCGCCGGCAGGGGAGGGAACCGCCGCAATGGAGACACAAGCAGAGGTAAATACAGTATAATGTCAGACAAAGCCACCGTTGGCATGATATTTTCAACTCCACTGAATTCAGTGTATACATGACCTGTAATGTGGTCTTTCAGGGAGAAGCAGCCGCAGCAACAGCCTTGAATCTGCCCTCAGAGCTGATGTCTGAGGGCCAGGGAGCCACACTGATGGTGACAGGTCTGTCAGACGAGGAGCTAGCTGTGACTGCAGCAGCAGAGGCCGCTGCTCAGGCAGCCGCCACTGAAGAAGCCCAGGCTCTTGCTATCCAAGCTGTCCTTCAGGCAGCCCAACAAGCCGTAATGAGTAAGTCCAACCATAGTCTTGTGTAGTCGGATTTCTCGCTGGCTGCAGTTAAGTGGGGAAAAAAAGGAATGGGAAGAATTAGCGATTAAGAACAGGATGGCTCTCAGCTGAAACACCAGAGTTTTGAAGCTACTGCATCCTCGCTTTTACAGTTTCTCATGATGCTTTCGTGGTTTGAGTTAACACGAATTCTTCAATATTTTCTGTTTTACAGATGAGGGCGATTCCACTGGAGAGAGCCAGCAACCTACCAACATCCCCATCATGCTGACCCAGCAGGAGCTCGCAGCACTGGTCCAACAGCAGCAGCAGCTGCAGGAAGCTCAGGCTGCTGCTCAGCAGGCCTCTGTGGACACAAGCCTACCCACAGAGGGCCTCGCCCCTGCTGACAGCCTCAACGACCCCTCTGTCGAGAGCAATGGACACAATGAGATGGCTGCCGCAGTCACCAGTGCTGTGGCGTCACTACTCCCACGTACCACTGCAGAGAGTAAGCACCTTTTTTGCTAATTTTTATAGTTAGTTTGGATGTCTTTTTATACAGTAGATTGACCTTTTTATATTGTTCCTTTCACTCCACAGCACTCGCTCCATCAAGCACATTTGCACCCTCTGTATCGGTGGCAAGTCCAGCCAAGCTGCAAGCAGCAGCCGCTCTAGCAGAGGTCGCCAATGGCATCGAGGGAGAGGTGAGTCATTGTAGTATTACTCAACATGTGGATGGTTAAGTGAGGTCAAAGAGAAGAAATCTGACTGTATTATTTTTTTTTATGTCGTACAGAAGCAAGGCCCTCAGCCAACCCCAGTGAAGCCTGTTGTAAAGAAAGAGAACCAGTGGTTTGATGTTGGAATCGTCAAAGTGACAAATATGGTTGTCACCCACTTCTATGTGCCAGCAGATGATTCTCACGGAGATGTAAGTGTCTCGGTAGGCTTTTTTCATGCTTAGATGACTGTACGTTGTGTGTGTGCTCAGTGCATCTCTAATCTCTTATTTTTTGTTTAATAGGATGACTCTGGCATCATGCCAGACTATAGCCAGATGAAGAAAATGGAGCTTCAGCCTGGAACGGCTTACAAGTTCCGTGTTGCTGGAATCAACGCTTGTGGTCGTGGAGCTTTCTCAGAGATATCTGCATTCAAGACATGCCTACCAGGCTTCCCAGGGGCACCTTGCGCCATCAAAATCAGCAAGGTAAACACTCCAATAGAACCCTTTCTTGTCATCTTATTTAGTTATTGATCTGACGTGTGTGTGTGTGTGTGTTAGAGAGAAACCCGCTTTCAGTTGCTGAGTAGTATTTAATTTAACTGTCCCTCTGCAGAGCCCAGATGGTGCCCACCTGACCTGGGAGCCGCCCTCGGTGACATCAGGAAAGATCATCGAGTATTCTGTGTACCTGGCCATCCAGAGCAACCAGACAGCTGAAGCCAAGGCCTCCACCCCAGCACAGCTAGCCTTCATGCGCGTGTACTGTGGACCCAACCCTTCTTGCTTGGTGCAGTCGTCCAGCCTCTCCAACGCCCACATCGACTACACCACCAAGCCAGCCATCATCTTCCGCATCGCCGCCCGCAATGAGAAGGGCTACGGTCCTGCCACCCAAGTTCGATGGCTCCAAGGTGAGCACATAGACTCACTAATACTCAACTATTAGTAAGTTAGCCATGCATTAATGGGTAAAGAGATGTATCTTAACCATGTGTCTGCTTTGTAGAATCCGGCAAAGATGCCGCCTCTGCGAAACCGGCCCCTAAAAGACCAGGCACCTCTCCTGATACGTAAGTACAGTGTACTGGCTTCATGCTGTGTACACAGGAATCAACATTAACATGACACGGATGAATAAAGCATGCAATACTTATTCTGGTTTTATTTGTGCTCTTGCAGTAAGGCTACTGGTCCAAAGAAAGCAAGGACGGACCAGTGAGGTTGCCCAGAGACCCCTCCCATTCAGTTTTTTCCACTCGCTGTCTTTTTATCAGGAAGACTGACCTTCACCCCTCCTCCACCTCCTCATCCTCATCTTAATCTCATCCTCCACCCTCAAGTCTCAGATCAAGACAGCATTGGAGGCAGAACAACCGTATGAAGCCGAGATGAAAGTCAATCTGAGAGATGTTTTCTGTAGATAAAAACCCTCCTTCCTCCTTGTTCTGTTGGTCGTAATATTTTTAGAGCAACACAAACTTAGAAGCACATTATCTTTTTCAGTCACATCCCCTTCCATCGTTTAACATCTATTTTTGGCTTGTTTCAGTAGTTGAGCAGTATAGAGAAGCATTTACATCTTTCACAAACTGGGAGCCAGCCTGAGCGCAATGTTACCTTTTTTTTTTCTGTCTTTGTTTTGTGAATCCTGGGGGGGATGTAGAGAGAGACTACATGAAATGATGTACAGTGTTGAAAAAGGCTCTGGAGGCATTAGTTTAGATGAGAGGAAAAATCGGTATGGAAACAAATAAAGCACTTGTCCTCAACGAAAGAGGACATAATTTTTTTCCCTTCTTTTTTGCTCAAAACAAATTTGCTTCATCGAGAACCAAGTCTATAGTCATCGTACTGGACTCCAGTCTCCTGGTAATGTCATCACTGTGCGCTTTTTACCCCAAGATGAGGACTGGTGGCCGACACTTCAAAGTGGACAAAAAAGAATGACAAAGGAAGAGATTTGTAGAGAATGGACGACAGACTTTGCTAGGACTGAGACTTGCAGCACACAAAAAAAATCTTGCAAAATCTTCCCAAAAAATTAGCAAGCAATGACGCAGAAGATCTTTTGTGTAGTTTATTTTTGTATTTTTTAAGCTTTTTTTTTTCTCCTGTGTGTATGTGTATGTTGTGTGCATTTTTAAAGAACATCACTTTTTTTAACTGTTGTTCATCCCCATAGTTTGTGTTCGTGGGAAGATGGGTGGCTATGTTGAGGTTGCCACTATATTTTTAAAAGTCTTCATTCAGTTGGTTGTATGTTCTTGTTGTTAACAGATGGTAATGAAAGAGAGACAGACTTTTGTATTTGTTCCAAGTAGAACCGCAGAGGTTATAGGACTGAAGGGAACTTTGAAGTGGACCCAGGAAGAGGAGAGTTTTTACTTTGTTTACTACTCAATGCTTGTGTTGCTTTGTTTGCCAAACCTGGAATTTCACGGGGTATGAGTAAAAAAAATAACATCAGATCTTTTCATACCTTTCCCCCTAATATCCCGATCAGTTGTCCTATACTTTTTATGCTCATGAATGTGGTGTCTCACCTCTTCTTTAAGTTTTAGAATGGCAAATTATATTAGTAGACATATTTTCCCTATCCTATTGATGTATGTGAATCCATTTAATAAATTTTAATTTTTTTCCTTCCACGGCTCTGTATTTCAGACTACAGATGGTGTGCAAGCTAACTGTGACGTGTAAACCCGTATGTCTTTGAATGGGGATGTCTTGGGAAGAAAGCTTACATAGCCGGAGTGTACTCACCTGTAAATTAGTTCGTTCATAGAGCAAGAATAAAACAAACAAAAAAAACATCTTGGCCTTTTATATAATTACCTGTAACAAACAGTTTTTACATGTTGGTCATCTCTTGATTGCCTTTTGTGTCTTTACTTATAAAAGAAACAAATATATATATATAAATATATATAGTCTCCCTGATTGTTCTAATTTGCTTCTGTCAAGCTGATTCACTGTAGGAGTCTAAATCACTGCTACGTTCAACAATACAAACTTGTACAGGGAGGAGGTTTCTGATTGGACATGAGTGTATATCTACTTTGTATGGGCAGATTCAGTTGTGATGGTAACGGCCTAGAAGATCCAGAGCCAAGGTTCTCGCCCGCCGCCTTTTCTTCGGCTGGGCGCCTTGGTTTCCGTTTGTGATTTCTCCTGATTTCTTTCTAGAAATGAACTTTCTCTTCATATGCATTCATAATTTTTGTGCGTGTCAGTGTGTCTGTTGAACAAAACTAGACATGCATGCAAAAGCAGTGTATTTTAGTAGTGATGCCTTAAGTTAGACCATAAGCTGAAGGTTCTCAAAAAAAAAGAAAAAACATTTAATGAGTTTGTTCCTCTCTCCATGTGGTATACAATTGTGTCCTTTCCTTCCACAGTACCTTTGCTGGGTCACTATTTTTGCACCCTTGTTAGATAGGTCATCATCAGCAGTGCCGAGGTCTCTCTGAACTTTCCTTCCCACACTGGGACGAGTGCTTCTCTCAGCACTCACAGGTGTTGCGAGTTTCTCTCGGCTGTTTGCAGGTTATCTGGAAATGTCCTGTATTTTCCAATGTGTGTTTTTTGTACTGTAGGGAGTAATGTATCTTTTATCATCAAAAAATAAACATGTTAAACATAGAGATATTATGCGTCTTTCTTCTTTTCGCTACAAAGATTAAAAAAATTAAAACTACTTGCTGAGTTACCTGCTTCAAGCCACTTTGAGCCGCTCTCAGAAACGGCTTTTCCACATCTAGATCCTCTTTGGCGCTTCCTTCAAAGTATTCTGCTCCTATTTCCTCACACCACTGCAGGGCCTGTCTGCCAGACACCTGCAAGCAAAAACAACATGATGACAAAAACAGTCCTCACATGGCAGCATGCATATACACTGAACAAAATTATAAACACAACACTTTTGTTTTTGCCCCCATTCATCATGAGCTGAACTCAAAGATCTAAGACTTTCTCTATGTACACAAAAGGCCTATTTCTCTCAAATATTGTTCACAAATCTGTCAAAATCTGTGTCAGTGAGCACTTCTCCTTTGCCGAAATAATCCATCCACCTCACAGGTGTGGCATATCAAGACGCTGATCAGACAGCATGGGTATTGCACAGGTGTGCCTTAGGCTGGCCACAATAAAGGGCCACTCGAAAATGTGCAGTTTCGCTGTATTCGGGGGGGTTCGGGGGGGTCCGGAAGCCAGTCAGTATCTGGTGTGACCACCATTGTGCAGAAATTCTTTGGTTATGCAAATCAATTGTTGCAGCAGCTGTCCGGGTGGCAGCTCTCAGACGGTCTTGGAGGTGAACATGCTGGATGTGGAGGTCCTGGGCTGGTGTGGTTACACGTGGTCTGCAGTTGTGAGTCGGATGTACTGCCAAATTCTCTGAAATGCCTTTGGAGACAGCTTATGGTAGAGAAATGAACATTCAATTCACAGTCAACAGCTCTGGTGGATATTCCTGCAGTCAGCATGCCAATTGCACGCTCCCTCAAAACTCGCGACATCTGTGGCATTGTGCTGTGTGATGGAACTGCACGTTTTCGAGTGGCCTTTTATTGTGGCCAGCCAAAGGCACACCTGTGCAAAACCCATGCTGTCTGATCTGAAGGCATATAATGTGGAATAAAATGGAACAAAAAGCTTAAGTCACAAAATTGTAGATTTAAAAGATGTAAACAATATGTGCTGATGAAATGTGTGGAAGTAATTACTTCCAACTTGACACTTTCCCATGTACATGTATGTTCATTTATGTACATTTTCAAATACACTCTTAAAGTAGTGCTTACTGCAAGAACTACAGAGCAGCTCACAGTGAAATGTGCTTTGTACTTATTAAAGGCGATATAGAGATAATTATTACTAGGATAGCACATTGGCTGTAACTAGGGATGCAACAGTTATTGACATTATTGACTAATAATACCTACTATTTTCTCAATTAATAGAATAATGTTTGTCTATAAAGTGTCTATAATGAAACAGAAAAAAGCATCAAATCCTCACGTTGGAGAAGCTGCAACCTGAGAATGATATTTGCTTAAAAATTATTAATTATAAGAGTAGCTGCAGATTCACTTTCTGTGGATCAGTTAATAAACTAATTGTTTTAGCTCCAGGTGTGCAGCCTGTATGTACTTGGTCACATTATTAAACCTTTCAGTCTGTGTTTAACTGAAAATTCCTGACATGAAATAATAAAACTTTAGTTTAAAAACCCTGTTGTATCCCAGTATCTGTGGTTCACTGACCTCCCGGTCACTCAAGTCAGTCTTGTTGCCCAGTACAATGAAGGGGAAGTCAGATGGGTCCTCAGGCTCGCCTTGGATCAGAAACTCCTTCCTCCAGCCCTCCAGGGCAGAGAAACTGGCTCTGGATGTGACATCAAACACCAGCATGCAGCAGTGGGCCCCTCTGTACAGAGGCATGCCCAGAGACTGGAACCTCTCTGTCCCAGCTGTGTCCCAGATCTGAGGGAGATTTACAGCATATATGTAGTTGGCCTACATACAGTATATAGCCATCTGTCCATGGGTGTGTTCACTGTCTGAGCAGGTGGAATGAGGAGTTACCTGCAGGGTGACTGTGTCCCCTTCTATGGTGACTGTTTTGGAGAGGAAGTCAGTCCCTACAGTGGCCCTGTACATGTTGGTGAAGCGGTGATTCACATATCTGTTCATGAAGGAGGATTTTCCCACCCTGTAAACACACACACACACACACACACACACACACACACACACACACACACGCAAACACACACACACACACACACACACACACACACACCATGTAACACACTCAAATCTCTCTCTCCTTCACAAGTTAGCATACTGCTCTGTTAATTAACAGTCAACACCCATTAGGGTTTACAGTAAATCAGTCTCAGTAAATCCAAGAGTGAAAAGTGAAAGTGAAACAGATGTGTGCGTCAGATCAGTGCAATAAAACATTTAGTTACAGAATGTGTAATACGGGTTAAAGAGTAGCCAGTTAACGTTACCCGGAGCTTCCTATGAGGATTATTTTCAGTGTAACCGGACTTTTTCCGTCCTTCATGTTCACGTCAGTCTACCGGAGCTTCAGCTGCTGCCTTCAAGTGCTCCTCGTAATTTGTCCTTTCGATCATTTGATGTGTGCCACAGTAGCATTAATGTGAAAGGGATTTTAATCAGGGCAGTAGTCATGATGCTAGAAATATCACCAGTCCTCCCTTTTCTTTTCCAAAAGTTGGCAAAGGTCTAAAAATGTTTTTATTTTGACATTATTATTATTTTAATTATTTATAATTTTTTTTAAATTCATGTATTTATTCATTTATTTCAGTGTTTTTAACGGTTCATCTATGTTTTAGATTTAAAAAAATTATTGACATGAAAGTCCAAAGGCTGTTTGAGAGCCCTCTAGTACAATGCCAGGAATACATTTCTCATGGGGAAAAGGGGAACCCTCACTGTTGGCCAAAAACTCAGATTTAATCATATTGAGTCTAAAAATACTAGAATGAGCCAATTAACGGTCCATCTATGTTCCCACAACTCCAAAATGCCCCCAAAAAATAATTTCAGCATCCTCAGCGTATTTCATTGAAAAGGTTACATGTTTGTGGCTAATGCTTAATTTAAAAGACTTAAGTGTGAATGATTACCGCAAGTGTCACTCTGCTTTGTTTATTTTCTCTGTTATTATTACAGTTTTTAAACGGCCCTTGAAGGCACCATGTGACAGCTGATTAGTCTGGTTGGCACACAGCTGACCTCTGCCCTGTCTGAGTCACAACCTACAGACCAGTCAAAATAAGGAATAAAGCAGAGATGTAAAATTAATAACCTCATAATGCAAAAACACACATAAACATAGATAGATTATTTTCTTCTTCTTTCTTGGATTTTATTTTGTTCTGTTATTTTGTAAATGGATATGGTAACTTGTCATAACTGTGAATTACATTTTCAATAAAGCTGGTATAAACAGAAGCAGCTGATTGTGCTGTGGAAATAAAAACATAAAAAAAATAGCTTTATTTAATACCTAATCTAAGACTGTTGCTCCAGAGTTTCATATTATGTAAAATACTTCTAGTGTGCATTAATTGACCAAAAAAAGTAAGTAAAATAAAAAAGGCAATTTTCTTCTTGATTTACTTAAATAAAGTGGGCACAGTGGTCTTTAACTACACTGTAAAACAGTAGTTTGTAATTTAAAAAAAAACACTGAACATGTAATCTACTGTAGATGATACTGGATCATTTCCACCAGAGGGCAGTATAGTCCTCAGGTGATTCACCTTTCTTCCAGGGTTTTCTTTCAGTTCTCAGGTGGTGTTACCTACTGATTCACTGTTGTTCACTGTCTGTTTTTAAACTTAATGTGACGCTATGTTAGCAGGGAATGCAACACCAAAAGTTCAAATACACATATTAACTCACATTATGCATTGTGATGTTTCAGCTTTTGCTCTCAAGTGATACATAACACATTTTAATTAATCTGACTTCATAAATACTTTTAATGTAACTGTTGTTAAAACCTTTAGTATAACACTAAACAAATATCCCAATAAAAAATATGAATTGAATGTTTCTTATACAGTATATGATATTGTCAGATAAAGTGGAAGATGATTTTAAACAAGCTTAAAGCAACTTGGATGTTAAGAGATCAATAATACTATAAAGCATTGTAGGATTAAAGATCACAGACATGTACATAAAGAGGTACAATACACTGTACATAACTTAACATGCATAATATGTAAAATGATCAACAAAACACTGAAGTTCAACAAGAAATAAAAACAGTCTGCTGCGCTGAAAACAAATGAATCTGAAAGTTAAAAAAGAGAAACACTATTGCAGTTACCTACACTGAGGTAATGCTTCCATGCTTTTGAATATCTGTGTCCTGTTGAGTTGCAGCAGAGTACTGAGATTACTCAAAATCAGCAATATAAAAAACTATGATATCACAGTGAGTAGCTCTAGAGTGGCAAGCTCTGGCCACTCACCTAACTTTATTAGTCATTGCAGAGACACACACACTCATACACTGCATGACACACATAACATCACATGCAGATCAGAGCTGTGGGCTAAGATGTAAGCTACATGGATACTAGTTATTCTTTGTTGACTAAAAATGCAAGTAACTGATGAGAAAAAGGGGGTAAAACTAAACAACAACGGAGTGTGTGTGTGTGTGTGTGTGTGTGTGTGTGTGTGTGTGTGTGAGAGAGAGAGAGAGAGAGAGAGAGAGAGAGAGAGCGCTCTCCTGGGTATGTCGCTGCAGCCCTGTGTGGTAGAGATAAGACCACCGCCTACACAGAAGCCTGTTTCTTGGGAATTAGAAAGCTTTCCCCAAAGTCCACTAGTGACACACAACACCATCCATCACCAGGCTGTAACGGGCTTACACAACCTCCCAACTGTCCTACAAGACGTTCCAATGTCAGCTCCAGCTGCTTCTGTCGAGATACTGTCAACAGAGTAGGCGTGTTGTGTGTGTGTGTGTGTCTGTATGCAGGCTTATGAGTTACATGGCACGACCACAGACGTGCTGCAATGTCCTGTACGTCTGTGCATCTGTCTGTACTGCTGTATGACAGCGAGCGGCGGGCCTGTAATTCCTGGCCTCCTCCTTTCATCTTGATAACCTCTTATCAGGGCAGAGCAGCCCGCTCGCGCAGTGGCAGCAGCCACATCCCTGCCCAGCTGTCCACACTGCCACCACTGAGCCCTAATTTCACTCATAATATCACTCTCATTTACATGAGCAGTTTAGTTTCATTCTAAATCAATCCCTCAAAGGAAACTCTGTGGAGACTAGTGCATAAAGTGAGTGAAAAGAGGGATAAACTGAAGTACTAGATAGCACAAGAAATTAGCAGCACCAACCATCTTTCCATATATTTACACTCTGTGGAAACTAGAGCCTTCCCAGCATGCACTGAGCAAGAGGCAGGCTAAATCCTGCACAGGTTCCCAGTCTGTCAGACACATTTATACATACAGGCAAATTTGGTTTTCAGTTGACATTACTTGAACCTGAAGTCTATATCCATAAACCATCATGGAACATGAATAGTACGAGGGATGTTACAGTTGTATAAGTGCTATCTCCCATCTTTGACCTGTTGCGTCCTGCCACCTTTCAACACTCTGTCTATATAATTGTGGCCAAACTGTACCACCAATAGCCTCCTTGCAATCATGCAGTAAATACATCAACCAGAGTTAATAAAACAATCATCATCACCACCAAAAACGTTCAATGGTCTAAACCCTCTGAATTCCCTGGGAATGCATTTAAATGCCTCATAAAGGGGATGAAGAACAGGGCTATAGCCCTGATTTTAGAAATACTGAGGTGATAAGAAGTCAGGGTTTTTGCCTGATTTGGTTGGGAAACAGGTCAGCCAGTAGTTTTCCAATTATACTATTTGACACGTCTTAAAAAGTGACAGAAATGTTTTATTTTTTTATCAGAATCAGTTTTATTCCCCAACTGTGTACACATACAAGGTATTTGACTCTGGTTTTTCATTGCTCTCAATGTGCTTACACAGACACAGACATACAAATATTTATATATAATAATATATAAGTATAGATCTCATTATGATTTATATGACAATATAATTGACATAAGGGTGCTGAAACACCTGATTTCCACAAAAAAAATAAAAGGTTTCTAAATCACCCAGATTCCCCCAAATACTAAGGGCATGAGCCCAGTGTCCTCATGGCAGCTAAGGCCCTGATGAACTTGAGAACCACCTTGCTGACTTTACGATAGTTTGTTTTTGTTGGCGCAGCATGAGAATTTAATGCCAAGCAACTGTAGAAAGGGGGAAAAGTTTAGGGAAATGGGAGACTCAATTGCAATTTTAAGCCACAGTTATGATGGTTGTATACTGATTTGCATCTGGCCTAACTGATGCAGTTTATCTGCCCCTCACTACCTTATAAGGACATATGAGTAATGTACGTGCTGCAGGTTCTTAAGTAAAAGGGAAAAGGCCCAGTGTTGGAAATTAAAAAAGGCCTCTTCCCAACTGTTTTTCTCCCCTGATTTCCCTGAAAACTGTATATGAACAAAGAGAGAGGAAAGTTGGGGAGCTGCTTTGACTATCAAATGACTGGGACAGTGCCGGGCTTGTGCGCAGCCAGGCCTTGTCCAGACCATATCTCTCCCCCATGATTGCAGCTCCTTTCCCAATTTGCATTACTGTGTTCCACTCTAAGCTTTGCTGGACCACAAAGAAATTGTGTCTTTGCATTTTATATCTGCTTTGTTCAAATGTCTGTCGTCTCTTTTCCATGTGGGCTTGGCCTTATCAGGGGCCGTATGCACATTTCATCAACAGACAAAAAGCACCCATCCTGCATGCTCACTGTGCCAGCTGTATGATGTCTTTTACATTAGTTTTATGTATCTGTAATGAACCCGGTCTATCTATCAGGTGAACTTAACTGTTTGATAATGGCTTTGTTTGGGGGCTGATGTGCATTTTATATGTGGTTCCTTCTCTGTGGAAGTCACCAGAGATACAAACATTGTTATCAATACTACACTACCAGCACACACAGCCACAAAGGAAGAGGAACCAAGATTTGAAGCCGACACCTTCACCTTTCCCACTTGCTTCAGATACCAAAAGCCTTTGATAAGACACAGTATTTGTAATACACTTAGAGAAATTACACAGTTGTACATCATTTTTTTTACATTCAGTTGAGTTGTAAATATGTCACATCTGCCCACACACAAGTTTTTTCTCTCTGGACCAAAGAGGTGTGTCTTTCAAAAAGTTTGTCCCCAACCCCTCCCACGGACTGTCTCTTAGCCCTAAACTTCGCTGGTGGTTGGAGAAGTAGTTCTTGTAGCCATCAGCCCATACTGAGGTAGACACACGAGCTGTGCCACTTTCCACCTGGCTGCATAACTTTGACCCCGAGTCCTGCTGCTCCCCTCGTTCATCTGTGACATCCCCTCAGGTAGGTGACCCCTGGCTCTTTCTCTCCTGTTGGTCTCATTCGTCACTAGACACCAGTATATGATCCAGTTGATTTAGTATAGAATATCTGGCTTATGAAAGCATATTTGTGCATTTGAGACATTCATTGGTGAGGTTTAATATCACAT